GAAGGAAAGAGCGGACAGAGGCCATTTGAATGAAAGCGCCTCAAAACGCTTCAACACTATGGAGGATCTCACAGAAGAACCAGACATGGACGTCATTGGAGAGATGATGACAGGAGACATTGTTTCTAAAGATGCACTAGATGATGATAGAGCATGCATAATGCTACAGAGTGGCTCGGGAGTCTATGAAAGTTCGGATTTAGAGAAAGAAGGGCCAAGAATTGAGCCCAGGGGAATCCCGAAAGAAGATACTGATGATGATATGAGGAGAGATGAAAATCATGATGTCGAGGTTTATGAGCAAAATGAGAATCCACTACTGACTGAAAACCAGCATATACACACTGAACAGCTTGAGTATGAAACAGTCCATTCATATGAAAGTCAAGAACATGTCCACAAAGACCATCCATCCTCATTTTCCGAAACATCTCAGGTCGAACAGCTTGAAAGCTCATTTGAAACTTCACCTACTCTGACCATGTTCCAAGATGCAGCTACAACCAAAGAACCAGAAAATCTTCTGGATGTTTCCATGCACACCAACATAGATCTGATGGACAGTCAATCTTTGCAAAGTGAGATAAACAGTCAGCCAAGTATCATGACATCAGACATGCCCAACTCTGACCAGGAAGAGTGCAATAGCTCAGAAGATGAATCACCAAATGCCAGTCAGTGCTTTCAGAATACAAGCCTTTTAGCAGCTGCTACTCTCACTGAGCAGCCATTAACCTTTACTAATGGAGGATTCAAGGCCGATCCTGTCTCTGCCAACAACGAAGAAGTGCCCAGTGAGGAGAAGAGCACGGAAGAAACTAAAGCCTCTCAGATTTATGACTGGGAGAATTCTAACATCTGGGGCAAAAGCATGAGCATTACAGAAGAAGCAAGTGCGAATGAGAATTCAGGCGTTTTCCCGGTGAGTGAGATTGAGAATTTGGGAAGTCCGAACAAAATGCCAAGTGTAGCGGAAAATATCTTTGGAAAATTTGAAGAACATCTTGAAAAGAGCTTTTCTGAAAAAGTGATGACTGTGATGGACTTTGAGAGCGACAATTTAGAAGAGGAGGAGGAATTTCAGTCAAAGGAAAAGAAAAGTGAGTTTCATAGTCTTTTCAGCACTAATTTGGAGGAGGATTTCTGGAGCAAAGGGAAAGTTGAGATGGCAGCTACTTACGACCCTTCCAAGACTGTAGACTTAAACCAGGACATGGTCTTAGGAGAGGAGTGGAAAGATATGGAGGGAATACCAGCAGCAAATGGAAATCCTACTGAAGAGATGGACATCCTCAAAGGCCGGGATGATAAACGAAAAGATGAACAGCCAAAGCGAGGCGAGATGGTCCTATCTGATGACTCTGTTGATGAAGGGGATTCCTGGTCCTCTGGGGATGAGTAACAGCTTTGTCCAATGATGTTTTAGACCATGTATATGACTAAACCAAAAACATAAAAAGTAGTGATGCCATATATAAATAGTTGAACAGCAACATTAAACACAAAGTGCACAAAAAACACCTTCATATACATTCACAGAAAATAAACTGGACAAGATTGCAGAGCGTAGTGTGTGTATACTACAATGTGATTTCTGTAATGCGAGTCAACAGCCTGGCATAATGTACCAGCTGTCTTCTTAGGATAAGAAAGTGTTGTACTCCATGACAGCCGCAGGGAGAGAGAATTCCTCGAGAGGACTTCATCTTTGTTGTTTCTGCACTAATCAGACCAGCATATGTCAGTGTTAACAAATTTTGTGAATTTGCACTATTACATTGGAAAAACAATATGGGTTAAAGCGTGTTCAAAATTCTGAAAAAACAATAAAGACTAATAAAAGTACGACAGCAAATACATTGAGTTGGTGTTTTCTTTTATCATTATTTTTAACTGTAAATTTTTGATCAATCATTTCATGAACATTATTTTCCCTCATCAACATTGCATACATTTCAGTTTGCAATGAATCAGAACTCTTAGTTGTACAGGCTAAATTCACTCAGTGTGGCAGCGAATCACACTCTGATTTGGAGCCCAGCTCTGGTCAGCACACAATACTGATCTGAGAGAAGGAGGCCACACTAGAAGAAAAGAAGAATAAGGAACAATGAATAATAGATGACATCACCACCTCATTTCCCTCTGTATGCATGCTGGCTCTCTGGTGCCACTGATGGGGGTTTTGGGGGACAATGACTGGATAAACATGTCTGCTCTTCAGCCAACACCCTTGTACCAGAAGACAAAATCACAGATAAAAACATGTGGATAAATATCCTGTAGAAAAAAAAATGAAATTAATAAATATATATATATATATATATATATAAGAATAAAAAGTTAAATTATTAAAAAACAAAAAAACCTTTCATTCTCCAAAAGGTTCAAACTTCTATTTTTGGTCCAAATCAAACAGCTAGTCTGATGACCCACACATACAAATACTCAAAGCAGGATTTACAGGGTCTTTTGAGCACTTAAACAAAAGTAAGGCAGGGCAACAGCTGGGTGGTCAGATGCTTCAACACCTGCTTCCTGTGTAAGAGGATGCCACGCAATCATGCCTGATGCAACAGCAAGCAACTCTATTAGCAACCCATTGCACTGAAGATCTTATCCTGTTGAAATGACAGAGGTTATTTATTTCAATCTGATCTCGACCTCATTCATAAGTGTCATAGTGAGAGCTATTTGAGTGAATGACCACAGAATCCCGAGACCAGTGCTCCAAATAAATCTCGATAAACCCCAAATGTGTTCAGGGGTCGAGTGACATTCAGCTATCTCTGCTCCCTTCACCATCTGCCGCTGTTATTGATTGTTATTGATTGTTATCAATGCCAGAAACTGAGTGACTGATTATTTTTTAAATTACACAGGACCCACCATTCATCACCTTTCTAATGCAAATGTGTAACATACCTAATGACACCCAACCATGGCTATTATGTAATGTTCATGCTGTTGCTTTCTCAAAAATGTTCTTTTCCTAGAGAATGATGCCATTAAAGAAGTTTTGTTAGGTCAATGGATAGTACAAACCGGATGTTAAGTGATATTGACGACACAGGAAATTACACCATACAGCTAAAAACATTTTAAAACATTTTTAAGGAAAGGAAAATCATTTAAAAAAACTGGAAATGCTCTAAATAAAATAAAATAAAATTTTAATAAAATTTAATCTAATAAAATTATGTTAAATTTACCCATGTTCATGTTCTTTATTGTGATATGATAAAATGGTAATACTTCACAATAAGGTTTCATTAAACTACCTTAGCAAACACAAACTAACAATGAACAACTTTTCAACAGCATTATTAATCAGTTTATGTTAATCTAAACATTTACTGATAAATTTTTAAGCTCATCTGTTAACATTGGTCAATGCAATGTCAAATAACATGAACATTTTTAGCAATCAACATTAACAAAGGTTAATAAAGGCTGTGAAAATGTATTGCTTAATTTTAGGTAATGTTAGTTAATGCATTAATAATGTTAACAAATGAGACCTTATTGTAAAGTGTTACCGATAAAAAAAAATCTGAATAATATCACTGATTACCAATAGCGAGATTAATATTTTCTGTTCATTTAGTTTAAGACATGTAAATGCAAATTAATTGTAGGCCGAATGACCCGTATACAATTATGAAGAAGAAGAAAAACTATTTAAAACCGAAACCTCAATTTTTATATAAATAAATAAATAACAAAAAATATTAAATTTATTCCACTGCCTGAAGGAAGAGAATACCAGCTGATTCAAAAGACAAATATATTGATTGAACATTTGGTGAATATTTCCCTTTGGAGTGGACTTTGTACTTTGTAACCTTGCAGATCTTGTGCTCAAACAGCAACATTACAGACTAACTAAAGTTGAAAAAGCATAATCAAACCCCTTTAAGGATGGCAGGGGTGTTTGCAGGATGAAATGATCCAAGTGTCTCAGTGCATTAGGAAAATTAGATCAACTCTGTCATCCAGACAAACAGTAAGTGGGGACCACTTACAAACAGAAGCTCAATGGTTGCACCAGAAGTGCAAACTGACAAACTGTGCTGACACAGTGCTCAGATGAACAGAATGTCATTGAGGAATGGTCTGCATTCAATGTGGGGCCACCAAAAGACACATGCACAAGACACTCACACTCAAAGTCATGTGGCTGAGTCACCACGACGATCTGTTGCTAAACAACAACAAACACAATGTCTCTGAGGAAAAAACATTCTTAGCTAACGTTACATATTTCTTCCTCAATTGGGTTAAAATAAATACTTGGACTTCCTCTGAACAAGCAACGTTGGTAAATTATAAAACTTATTAGAGTAACAAACAAACATAACAAACGGTTGTTTCAAATTTACAATTTTAGTAGCTGGAAGCAGATGAAAGGCTGACATCTAGTGGCCAGATATGGAAATGACTTGAAAGTTAATGCTGCAACACTTCAACACATTAAAAAAGATCATATGATAAAAAAGCCTTCCTATCTTCTAGAGTTTCAAACAAAGTAGGATATATAGATATTAGTGTGTATATATTTGGGGTCAGTAAGATGTATTCATATTTATTTTCAGCAAGGATACAAGACCTATGTGACTATTTCAAATAAATGCTATTTGTTTGAACTTTCTATTGATCAAGGAATCTAAAGATTTACATAAAAAATTTAAGCAGCACAACTGTTAAACTGACAAGAAATGTTTCTTGAGCACCAAATCAACTTCTTAGAATGATTTGTGAAGGATCATGTGTTATTTAAATTAGCAATTTTACTGTTTTTACTGTTTTTCTGATCAAATAAATACAGCCATGGTGGAAATATAAGTATATTTGCAAATATTGCTGGTTACTTTATCATTACAAATCACTGTCCACATTTGAAAGTTATTAGATAATAGCATCTGCAAAATGAACTGAGTGCACTGACAACAGAACAAACCAACCCACACAACAAACTTGTAATACAGACAGACTCATACTTGTGTGTAGGTCAACTTGTCTATTTAATATATAAAATACAATAAAACATACGCAAAAGGGGAGGGTCATAAAGGACAATGGATACTTTGGTACAATAACAAACACTCTTTTGTAAAAGCAGTATAGAATTTGTAATAACATATCAGTGCATACTTTGTTTATGAAAATATACACAAACTGTATATCATTCTCCGAAAACAACAATTTTTTTTCTCGTTTTTTCTTTTTTTTTTACAACAAAACTCAAAGCAGACTAGCCGAACACAATATATTAGCTATAATTCTTCTTTTTTAAACTTTTTTTCTTCAATTTCTATTCTAGTTTTATGTGTTGTATATTCTTATTGAAATTACATTTCAGTTTATTTATAATATGACTCATTCTTTGCTTGTCTGACGCCCATGCATTGTGTCTGATCAGAATAAATTAAATGTGTGGATGTCCCACCTTAACTATGTGTAGATACTATTGTACAATTGACTAAAAATTGCAGCATTGAACTGGTCATTCTATCGAACCTGTTTTATCGCTTCCCTCAATTAGCAATAAGTACTAATATTACTACAACGGTTTTGTTTTACTTAATAAATCGTGCAATATTAGTAACACCCCTTTGAAGAACAAAAAAGAAAAAGAAATTGAAACGAAAATAGATTCATATAATATTCATATATAATAAAATAAAATCAAATAAAAATAAAACAGGATGTCTAACCTACACAAAAAAAAAACAAACAAACAAACAAAAAAAAATAAAAACCGTCTTTCTAAATGTATCATTATTATTACCATCTGTGACGATAATCATAATGGTAATGATAATCATCGTAACAATTATATTAAAAACAGACAATAAAACTGTCACCAGCACAAATTAACACGAGAAAAAGTATGTGAGAATCTCTAGACATCATACAAAGGGAATACGGGGACCAAAGTGAAGTATTCACCGGACGATTGTCTTTTCTTTGATTACTCAGATTCCTAATTTTATCACGAGGTCTTCAAGAGAGCTTTTTGAACGTCGTCTTAGCCTGGAAATCAACACAGTCCCGGCTGTCACCTTATAAACGTACGTAGAAATCACTGCATTTGTTCAAAGCTCAGGACACAACAGTCTTTAAGTCAACGGGTGCACTGCAGAAGCCTCGCTCTGCTATGATGCAGTTCTAGAAAACATCCGCCCAGTAGCTCTAGAACCTCAGTCGAAGGGATACCAACGCACGTCTGTGATGAGTCCGAACGAACGCTTACTCTCATCGCCTCCCAGCACTGCATCCATCATGTGTGTGAGTGTGAGTGTGTGTAATCTGGTTTAACAAAAGGTGGGCCACCTGTTGAGGTGAAATGAAATGGCTTCTGTCTTCCTCTGTGAGTGAAGGAGTGGAGGAAAGGAGAGAAAGAGAAGATACGATAGGATGGAGGGAGAGGTAGAGAAGCCGATGACGGACAGGTGAGTCTCACCTTAACCTTACTAACACTTTTAAGTCAAAGTTTTAGAGGGAAATACAACATATTTGAAATCATTTTGAACCCCATTTCCCTTCGCGTCATTTTTCAAAACATCCTTCATATTCGTCACTTGGAGAATACACTAATGCACAGAAAACGATTTGTGTACATAGTAGTCACATCTGCAACACGTGTAAAGCCTAATCTAGATCTCAGTACAACAATCTTTTTTATTTGTCGTCTTTTTTCTTCATTTCTTTTTTTTTTTTTAACCAAACGTGACATTTTTTTCTTCTATAATTGTTCACGGTTAAACATGTGAAGTGCAATATAATCCAAAAAAAAAAAAAACAACAAAAACGAAACGTCCTTCCCTGAATGCTTTTAAACGTCTTATAGGTGAAATGAGACTGTATTCCCTTCCAAGCCGCCAGGGAATCGTTTTGTTGGGAGATAGATGTGTAAAAAGTGGACTGATCGTGTAAATGATAATGCGAGGAAATTCCTCACGTGTGTATCTGAGGGTGTGCGAGCGGATAAGAGGGAAAGATTTTAAAGTGCACGCCATCAGGATAAAAACGACGGGAAAGAGTCACGCATAAAAACAGTCAAATCCTCCTTCATCTGCCTCTCCACCTTGATAACTTATAACACGGTACAGTTTATTTACAGGTAGAGGCCGACAGAGACGGTTCCACTGAGATTACAGCGCTATTTCAGAAAGACCCAGCAGAATATATGTGAACATACATCGCTATGTACAATCTCAACGCTTCTCACACACACAGCGCTACACAACCTCCATCTCTTTCTTTGCTAAAATGACCTAGCTGAGATGCGTGTTTACCACCAACTCCTTTTGCTATACATAAACCTGTACTGAAACACTGAGAAATTTTGTATATACATGATCTCAAACATCTAAAATCCCCACTTTTTATTTTTCATGGAATCTTACAAACAATAATAAAGCATACCCGTCCCATAAAGTTAACTAATTAATCTCTGAATTACACAGCCAGACAAAACAATAAATATAGCATAATGTGGCAGACCGCTGCTCTCGTAAATGCAGCCACACACTGCACGTCCGTTTCCTGCACGCCTGAATCTCATTAGTACAGATAGATCTACACTTCCATCAACGACACTACGTTTACGGTCCACGCGTAAGCAGAAAACCGAGGATGCGGAGCGGCGTCCGCGCTTCGAGCTCCGCCGATAGACACGCTTCTAGTGCGCAAGCGAGGGGACTGGTGTGAGAGGTTATGATACAACGAAAGATGGATGTTTTTTTGGCTGAATCGTGTTTAGCAATTGAATGAATGAGCACCTCCGTCTCACAGCTGACACACACACACACACACACACACCACACCAAGCACACTATGCTAGTTTTTACGCAGTTAGAAAAACAAATATAAAGATTTTATGCTAAAGTTGTTACAACAATAACGGGGCCGATTCTAAAGGCAGCTGCTCAAGCAGATAGTCAAAAAAACATGAAAAGCAAGAGAGAAAGAGTCAGTCGAGAAGATAAATGGCAAATACAACCGTTCATACAAAACAAAACAAAAGAGAAATAGATACAAAAAAAAAAAATAGAGATCGACAGGCTTGTCTATGCAACTTAAGCAGTTGTTATGGCGTTTTGACAGAGCAGTGCCGCTGAACTGGTCGACGGTAAGGCCTGTAAAAAGTTGAGCTGAGATCCGGACGGCCTCTCTTAGCAGGGGCGAGGGATAGCAGAGACGCGACCAAAAGTACATCTCTTCAGTCTCGTATACGTGGACACGTTTACACCTGGATTGGCAACTGTGTGTGTGTGAAGATCTAGTGCGTGTGTGATCATATATGCATATTTTATATAAATATATACACACACACCAGTAAATATGAGTGTGTCTGAGAGTGAGACAAGAGTGAGAGAGACAGGAAGAGAGAGAGAGACAGAGAGACAGGCGCATGCATGTGTCTAAGTGCGGACTGAGATTGGCTGCTGAAAGCAGGTGCCACTAGGGGTGTGTTTATGTCGGTGTGTGTGTGTATGTGCGGGTAAGAGAGCAGATCTCTCGCTCTCTCCTACAGCGTTTATGTGACCCAGGTGTCCAGTCTCATGCGTTTCACATTGGCTGACTCCTGCTGCTCCGCTTGGGACGATTGCTCTCCGGAAGCTCGGAGGAGACCCAGGCCGGACGAGTTGAAATCGGGAGGGCGCGGCTGCCCACCGTCGTCTCGGTCGCTTCCCTCGTAAGAGCTGCCGTTGCTGCTGATGCTGTCGACCGGAGAGCGGCCGGTGGGCTCCAAACGCTGCGTCCCACTGTGATACTGGGTCACAGTTAGGCCCGTTGCCCCGCCGGTGGAATTAGGGGTGCTGCGATCCCGGTTGGGAGACACCGGCTCAGATTTGATGCTGACGTGGGGGTTAGTGTTAACCGTCAGAGTAGCTCCATGAGGGATCGTTCCCACAGGCCTGTGGTAAAACGAGAAAGAGAAGAAGAATCAACATCACTAATAAAGAGGGGACACCTGATGTCTAACAAAACATACATTTTAAATACGACAAACATACGTGTGGACAAACAGCAACGTTACCCACAACTTTATCATGTTTTGCACTACCTTTGTACAGCCACATTTTAGTATACAAAAAAATAAATAATAGTACAATAAATCAGCTATAAAATGCACCAAGCCAGACAAGTTATCTCTGTCACTTAACTCCTGCTAGCCATGCAGTCACAACTTGATCAGCATCCTTTCACACATCACAACATGCCACATACCCTAAACTGCAGTGAGTGTGTTTGTTTATGTGCGTGTAAATTAGACTGCAGCCAAACGTATGTATTTACTGTAGTGTATTATTTATGTTGGGATTACTCAAAGCTATTTTAGCTAGTTTTCCAGAAGAGAAGAGAAGAGTGAACAGAAAAGGAGGAAAGGAATTGGAAATGAAAGGAAAAAGGAAAAGTGGAAAAGAAAAGTCAAAAGGAAAGGAAACAAAAGGACAAAGAACGAAAAAAGGAAATGGAAACTAAAAGGAAAAAGAAACAGAAGAGAAAAGGAAGAGGAAATGTAAATATGAAAAAGGACAGGATATAGTGGAACATGAAAGGAAACGGCATGGAAGAGGAAATTACATGAAAAAGAAAATAAGAAGAGTAATTGAAATAGTAAAGAAAATGGAAAAGGAGGGAAGCGATGGCATGGGAATGGAGGGGAAATTGAAGAAAATAAGGAATAGAAAAAAGGAAAGAGAATGGAAATGGAAGAAGATGAGGAGAGGAAATGAGGGAAAGGAAACTAAAAGGGAAAATAAAGAAAAGTAAAAAAAAAGAGGAAAGTAAATGGGAATGGAAAGAGAGGAGAGGAGGTAAGGTAACGCAAGGTAAGAAAGGAAAGAATTTGTAAAGGAATGGAAAAAAAAGTGGAAATGAAAGAAATGAATATGGAAGAGAAAAGAAAATGGAAAAGTAGCAGAGATCAAAAAGGAATAAACAGGATGACAAAAAAGCTAAACATTTTCATTTAAAGAAAACAAATGTAAGTTAACAAATGTAAAAAGAGATAAAGAGAGAGGGCGAGAGGGTTGTGAAACACACAGAGTTTGGTCTTGTGGGCCTGTAGATGTTGATTGATGATGCTGCAGGTGCTGTTTCAGTATGTTCTAATGCAAAACAGAAAGAAAGGCCAACTCAGCAAATCACTGACAAAGACAAAGCCCAGCTTCCTACAGCCCAAGCAGCCAGAGACTGATAGAGAGAGAAAACCAAGAGAGAGCAGGAGAGTTAGCGCCATTAGCCGTAGAAAACCGCCACAAGACAGACAACAAACAGAGACAGACGGGGAGAGGAAACGCCAGATACAGTACCAGCTGATCCCTTCCTCCCTGCCCAAGAGTAAGCTGCCCTGAGAGGTCACACTGCAGAGAGAGACACAGGCAAAACCCACTCTAGCATCTGCAATAATCAACGTCAGGTCAAACACACACGTACATGTCAGCATTCACTCATCTACAACAGTTCAGAGACAGACGGATGTCTATGGACAGTTAACATGGACTGTTTATTCAGGGGGAGAAAGAAAACCCAACTCAATGCTTATTCCTAAAACTCAAATAAATATCCCACCCTCAATGCATAGCGGAAAGAATGAGTCTTCACCCCAGTCTGGCCAGGAAAGGCCGACACAAGGAAAAATGATTTGATGACATGAGAGCATAAGACAGGGTGGCGGAGCAGCGGGGAGCTCTCACGGCTCCATTAGCATTTATATTAAAATGAACAGGTAGTCAGGGCCACAGTGAGATGTAATGACAGTTTCTCAGGCATAACGAGAGAGAAATTCATTTGAAATTCACTGTATATTCGCAGAGAACGCAGCAGCTGCTGCCAGGAGAGTGGCAAGTCCTGATAAAGTTCAAGTGATATGAGGACACCGCATTACTGATCAATGAAATCAGCTCAGGGCTGCACTGAAAACATGAAAATATTGTCTCGGTCCTGCTAAACCTAACACATACAGCAAATTTGTAGGAAGATATTCTTCTTTGAACAGAGTGGAGAGGACATAACATATTACTGTAGATGAAATTAAAACTACTCTAACGCCCCCTTGAGGTCTATGAGAAAAGTTACAATCAAATGTTGAATGTTAAATTCACCTGAAAAAGGCAAGACAAAACATAATATTTCCATTTCAAAATGAACATTAACATTATATAATAAAGTAAGGAATTAGCTAGGCTCTATTGGTTACTGTTGGTGACTAGCTTTACAGAACATGAATGAATCGTACAGTTTTAAAGGGTTAGCTCACCCAAAAATGAAAATTCTGTCAGTATTTACTCACCCTCATGTTGTTCCAAACCTCTATGTGTTTATTTGTTCTGCTGAACACAAAGGAAGATATTTGGAAGAATGTTTTAATCAAACAGATCTCATTCCCCATTGACTACCATAGTATGTATTTTTTCCTACTATGGTAGTCAATGGGGAATGAGATCTGTTTGATTAAAACATTCTTCCAAATATCTTCCTTTGTGTTTAGCAGAACAAATAAACACATAGAGGTTTGGAACAACATAAGGGTGAATAAATACTGACCGAATTTTCATTTTTGGGTAAACTAAGCCTTTAAGTAAATGGGCTTAAAAAGTGGTAAAAATGCAGTTAAAGTGTGATGAAATTAAGTGTAACAATACAAATCATAATTATTTGATGGTTTTCTTCTAACTAAATGACTAGCTATGTTGTTAGGGGCTGTCCATTCCATTGTGCTACTTTTCCATTGTTTTTTCATGCAAACATATGCTAGACAGACATGTATAACCATTGCTCATTTACCAGTACAGCATGTAAGTGCCAATATGTGATAATATAATGTTTAATATTATGCATTGCTGTTTATCAAATGATCAGCATTGTAATGGAAAAAAACATTTTAAGCCTTGACCTGCTATGTTAAACAGCCTGGTTTATAATATGTGGTGCTTGAGGTGGTTCAGAGCAGGATCTGCTGGCATGATGAACGTGTGGCCATGTAGCAGGTTACAAACGGATGGACGAATGAACCCCAGAGAGTCCTGACCCACTTGGGAGGACATGATGGAGATGTCTGTCCTACTTTTAAATTCTAATCTCTACCTGCTCAGTTATCAGGGCACCAATGTGCTAGATTCATTAGAAAAATGCATTGTGTAAATCTGTCTACATCTGCGTGTAAATCGCGCACAGGACACTGGACAATAAGCGATGAACAAGAAAAAGATAAAAAAAAGACACAAAAGTTTGATTGAATGAAGAGAGACTCAGACGAAATGGTCATCTGCGAGACGACGAAAGCGTGAACATTCTTCAGCACGGCCAGAGACGGTAACCATGACAACTAGGCCGTGGCAGGTGAGAGACAGGACAGCGGTGCATAATAGGCCGACACAGAGCACCCACAGAATATGACTGGCTAACACAGAGAGCCCACGGTTTGACTGGCGGACACAGAGTGCCCATGGGACCCCATTCACCTGAGATTAGCAGCTAGACCAGAGATGCAGTGAGCCATCTCTCCGTTCTGTTTGTCTGAGCCCCACATGCTGTAAACAAATGAGAGAGAGCACACAAACACACGGCAGGTTAGACCTGCTCCAGAAATCTGAAAATCTGTACACAGCATTAACAGAAGCGAACAGTCACGCTAATGAGAGCGCAAGGCAGCGCTAACCCCGCTGTTAGCAGGCATTAAAGGCAGGCAAGAACACCTCGATGTTCACCCCCCATAGGGAGGAGAGAAAGAGGAAGAAAAAGAGGAAAATGTCTATGTGAGACTGAAAGAGAGTTATTTAGGTCAATCTCCAAGGGAGAATACGCAGGCTTTAGGTTGTGTGCTACCGATGATCGTTAGATTGTTCTTGTTCAAGTGATTGCTAATATGAGATCATGACCTCTCCTATACCACAAAAGGCATTTGAAAAAAAAAAAAGAGCAAATTCACAGCAAGGTAGATGCATGTGTCATGCTAATAATGCAGCGTACAGCTGCCCTTGACCTGAGCCGTGGGCTATTATGTGATGCATAAAGAGAAAATAGGTAGCACAGGCATTCAGCTGTTCTGCCCTGTACATTTTATTCACATCCTGAACATGAAACATCATATTCAGGCTGTCTAGATGCCCCTGTAACACAGGTTTGAGTTATAGAGCAGTAGCGATGTTCTCTCTATAGCTGATAGAACCGTAACACTTTAATCAAGTTGTACTTTGTGTCTCTCTGCTCTATCTAGTGTGAATAAAATTGCAGATTAATATGAAATAATTCCCTACAGTTTACAGTGGACACATGTCAAAATGTATGAGCTAGACAATAATGGCCAAAAATTCTGTCTAGGAAGGACGCTAGTTTGTGCCAACGCAGTTTCTAAAAAAATGTTAGCTTAACGCTAAATGCTAACACTTTTAAGGTTTAATTTATTATTCCATTAGGTATCATGAATTGACAATGAACAATTTTTAATAATTTAACAATTAATAATAATTTAACTAACTAATTTATACATTTTGCAATACTGAAATGTGTTAATTTATGCAGAAATTAACATAATACATTAAATGTCTATAATAATAAATTCAGTCTCTTATGCTCACCAAGGCTGCCTTTGTTTGATCAAAAATACAGTAAAAACAGCAATATTGTGAATTATTATTACAATTTAAAATAACTGCTTTCTACTTGAAATATTTTAAAATGTAATTTAGTCCTGTGATCTAAGCTGAATTTTCAGCATCATTTCTCCAGTCGCCAGTGTCACATGATCCTTCGGAAATCATTGTAATATGCTGATTTGCTGCTCAACATCATTGAAAACAATGTTAAAAATGTTTTAAAAGATCAACTTTAAATCTTTTGTAAAATTATAAACGTCTGGGAATTTTGAATAATTTAATGCATTCTTGCTGAAAAAAAGTAGGGTCGGTAAGATTTCAATAAAGTTCTGAACTTTAGAGTATTTAAAATGTTATTTCATGTTATCTTTTGCATTAACTATGTTAACGATATATGTTTGACTTAGTTAAACTTAAACCTTAAACTTATATCTAGTTAGATGTAGCTAAAGGTTAAACAAAGACAATCGAAGAGTTTTAGCTCAAGACTAAGAGGGGAGGGGAGTATGTCACTGAAACTTCTCTCCACTGTAGACAGTAAGTAGATGTGGTGCATGTGGCCTCACACTATGGACATGTGGTTAGAGAAGAAACAGGTGCATGTGTGAGTAGGTGAGAGCAAGAGAGTTTGTAAAAGGCACGAGACGTACACAAGATTACTGAGGGAGGCCAGAGTTAGCTGCTGTGGCTGTTGCTGCTGCTGAGACTGTTGCTGGGATACGGATGGCTGCTGCTGTTGTTGCTGGGATACGGAAGGCTGCTGTTGCCAAGTGGTCATGTTGCTTGGCAACAGCGCACCCGACGGCGTAAAGGCCTGGAGGGCTGTGAGATCTGCACTTGTTAGCTGGTACTCTGCATGAAAACAAAGAAGAACATTTAATGTATATTTATTTACTGAATTCTATTTATTACTATAGTTGTGATAATATAACATCTATATTCAGTTATCGTTTCTTTTTATGCTCCACTTAAATTCCAGTGATAAATCTAGCCTTGAAAGAGAGGTAAGGAATAGGTGTGAAAGTAAAAGAGATAAATGGACTCTGCAAGCATCTGTCTGGAGTATTATCTAAAGCATGGCTGTGTTTATTTCTCTCGAATCTGTGCTGGCCTGCAAAGTGACGGATGTCTCGGCTTCTCCCTATGATGTCACTCTCACCTGTGTTGTAGGCGGTTGGCATGGAGAATGGAGTCAGGAGGCTTGGCGTTGCCACGGAAACCACTGGCGTGGTAAGAGGCTGGGTCACTTGAGAGGCGCCTAACCGCTGAGCGTTCTGGAAAGCCAGAGAGAGAGAAAAACAGAGAGAGATAGAGTCAAAAGTACCAAGAGTTGACTTTCCGGGCAAGGAAAGAAAGGACACAAACACCTCTGCAAGACTTGTGTATGTACACAATCATCAAATTCCAGACACTTCTGAAGATCAAATAGTTTAGATCATCATAGGCCCGGTTTCACAGACAGGGTTTAGATTAAGCCAGGATTAGACCTTAGTTCAATTAGGACATATAAGTAGCTTAGCCTTAGAGAAAAAACATTACTGGTGTGCATCTTAAGACAAAACAATGGCACTGACATATTTTAAGAAACGCGAGTGCAAGTTGCTTTCAGTTAAAACAGTTCAAACAAACATTTTAGTTTGGGACTAGCTTAAGCCTTGTCTGTGAATCTGGGGGTTAAATTACTAAAAGCTATCTTAAGAATATTAATAATCAGCCAGTCCATATAAACACAACGTAAGCTCCATAGCTTCAGACTGTCACTCTAAACATCTCTCTAGACACTCAGCTGAGTGTAAAACAGTAGCTGTGTTTACATGGACCCTAATAATCCAGTTGAAATCAGCACAGTCGGAATAATAAAAGGAATTGTAACCACGCCAATCAGAATAAATTGTCCAAAACAGATTAAAATGTCATTCGGATTGTAAGGGGTGGTTTAAACCTTTTCTAATCCGATCGAGAGGACATGTAAACACTTGATCGGATTGAAAACTTGGAAAGTACTGCGCTGGGCAATGATGATGAAGAGATGGCGTAATTTGTGTCATTTAAAATTCTCCTTCCACTCATTGACAGGTAGGTTAGTAGTGTACGAATGTCAAAAAATACATTTTGCTTGTGACACAAACATCAACCTGGTCACGTTATTTGGTGTTCATGTAAACACTATGTTCGGATTCATCAATCAACAATGAAAAGGTGTCCATGTAAATGTAGCTACTGAGATAAATGTCCTACAACGTTGAAGAGCTCAACAATAAGGATGGTCAAAGAACCAGTCTGAAAGTGTTTTGGGTCAGCTGGATGATCTGTCAGAGCATCTTTTGGTTTTGTATGTATTGATATTAACAATGTATTGAGCATTGTTTTGAAATCTACTCATTTAAATAATTAACTTATGAGGACATTGATGAGAACATTTGATAGTCTTGGAAGTATCCAAAAAATGGTAATGTTTTACACCATATATATGGTGAATTAAAAATTCACCGCACACACACAAAATCCTCATTGTTGAGCCCTTATCTGAATCATGCAAGAAAAAAGTAAACACTTCACTACAAAACACAAGATAACAAAATGCAGACTGTGAACCAGCGTCAAACATTCAAATTTAAAACCCTATTAATTTTACAAGGGGATAAAGAAGGCGACTTTTACAGTCAACATGACCATGATTCATGCACACACTCACAGATACAGATGCTGAGATGACCGAACCCCCCCCAAAAAACTCAGATGGACATGCACTACACTTAATGTGTCATTGGACAACAGATCATTAGAGGAGAAGACATCAAGAAGTGAAAGAAAGTGGGGGAGAGACAGACAGACAAATTGATCTTTGGAGTGAGGGCTTCTGCTCCGATGCGCTGCACGTTTGATCTAGTGTGTCTGACTCATGTGAGATCAACCCATGCATATGTGCATTTCGCCTTGAGTGTGTGTGTGTGTGCATTCATTTAAAACTGCACACAATAATCAGGCAGTCAGCCTGCAACTGAATAAACAGCACGCATTTAACTCCAATTCACTGACCGCCAATTAGATCATATATGAAAAACAGTGTATTCTTCAATACAATAAAAAAACTGTTTAACCACAATCATTACATTTTGATAAGTGAAAAATGCCGTGTATAAGAGGGAAAATGACACGTTAAAAACACAACATCCATAAATCATTCGTCAAACATTTGTTTGTGAAATGAGACCGTTCACAGCACAACAGTCAAAAGAATTGAGCTGTATTCACCTCACTCACCAACTCCAGCTCTTCATCTGTCTGCGAGGCCAGAAACAAATAGAAAACAGATTACAACTCCAACACACACACAAGCCCCGTTTTACACTTGGTTTCCATCTCGATACGAACACAACTGGCAGTAATCACTTCTGATCAGATTTCATGTGAAGGGTCTCAGACCTCATGACTGCATTACTCACTACATCAGCATGACACTGCATGTTTATAGCACAATTATTGGAGGCATACTATTACTTCCAAATATACTTTTAAATGTTAAACTAATTGAAAATATTCACTAATAAAAAAGCAACATATATATATATATATATATATATATATATACATATATATATACAGTAGTGGCCAAATGCAAAGTCCAGAGGAGATTTGTTTTTAATGACTATTACTATGACTATAATAAATATTAGGGAAGAACAAAACACTAAACTTGGTTAAGGTATTTATTATCTGACAAAATTACTTTTCAAAGAGAAAAGTATACACTGACTTAATCATAATCATTTTCAATTTCATTGGTTCCCTCTCTTGTTTTTGCAAGTGTTCATAATTTCTTTGTATGACAGTCTGGCCGAAAAATAAGTCCGCAAAATGTAGTATGTTTCATTGCGTTATCACTAATAAAACAACTGACTGGAAGCACATATGCTTACAAAGTCTATAACCCTTAAACAGGCAAGAGTGGAAAATGCTTTGCAAAAATATAATTTCATTATATTTTTTGATTTCATCTGGACGTAAATAAAACATATCCGAAAGAATTTTTTAAAAAATTGTATATATTTTGGATTTTATGAGTTGTGTCTCCTGAGATACGTTGCCTGATTAGGGTATAAAAAAGGACCATGTCATTAATCGGTTAACTGTTACTGCCACTGTATGTTTAAAACAATTATATCCCATTATTCACCTGATCTAATGCTGACAAATTATATATGATTTGAAAGCTTACAATCTCCTTAACTTTTTTTTTTTAAGTGAGCAATAATCTACTGACTGATCTCTTTAAAACAAGACCAAAATTAGGTCTATATTCCAAAGCATTCTTAAATAACAATAATTTAAGTTTGAATAGAGCATTTTAAATAGAGCTAGTTTAATCCCTTTTTTATACCCTAAACAGGCAACGTGTCTCAGGACATGCTAAATAACAACATGAACAACATATTACTTAATTTTGTTCACAATTATTTTAGCAGTATTCTTTTTTTTCAGGGGAAAAGTAAGTTTAATATGCATTTACTTATCTACATATCTGAATGTTCTGCACCACTGGCAGCCATGTTGAATTTAGGTCAGGCTGACTAATTGATCACATAAAATTTGAGGTCAAGACAGACCAAGCTGTCATAAGTGATACGAGATCTGATGAAAAAAGCTTTATTATGCCCCAAAAAATACAATAAACAATCTCGTGAGACACATTACCCTTAAAAAGTTTTGAATAATATTTCAAAGTTGTCATTTTTGCTAGGCTGGACCTCTACTGTGTGTATATTAGGGGTGTACCAAAAAGTACCGGTACATGTATTCGTCCAGAACCGTACGGTATGGACGTCATGGTTCGTTGCATGCAGTCGCACGACGAATACATTCAGTCAAAGGCGATCTACACTCCTATCCAGAATGGAGCACACGCGACAATACAACACTGTTTGCTACCAGTAAAAAGCGCAGAAGAATGATGATCGATATGTTTACATCTCTCAACAAGTGTTTCAACTGCGGAAAGAGATCAATAAAACAGCTTGAGAATAATATCTCACGTAGCATTACATTTAGCTCAGGCATTTAGTGACGACAGCAGGTTAATTGGCTAGCGAAATGAACTCTAGAGAGAAGCATTTCGTATATATACATATATATATATATATATACATATATATATATATATATCTCGTATATATGCACTATATTAGCCTATTCATTATATTTACTTAAATATATCCCCCTGTAGTCAATCATTTTATCCCTTAAAACTCACCTTTGATCACCAAAATTACATATTTAGGCTTTTTTTCCTTGGAAAAAATTGCATCCCTTAAAATAATTTGAATGCAACTCTACACCCTTGCTTCATTTAATATACACAGTTCTATGAATATGCAAATTAGCTTCACCTTAAGGGCTCCCTAACTAGTTTACAGCATTATCCAAGATAGACTTCTTTATCCTTACTACAATTTTAAATATAATTAAACACAGAGACATATTTGTAAAAAAAAAAAAAAAAAAATTTAATCTACTTACATCTACTTACTGTCTACAGCTTTTTTGTAAAAAAAAAGTAAAAAAAAAATGATAAAATAAGCAATTTTGTGTTTAGTTTACTACTACAGGACTACGGGAAAACCCCCTGTCTTCCGAACCACAACTTGAGCCAAGATACGTACCGAACCGCCATGTTTGTGTACCGTTACACCCCTAGTGTGTATATACTTTTTTATATATACACATTTAAAAAAAAAGTTTAAAAAACTTAAATCTACAAATTAGTAGTGTATTGCGATGACAAATTTTCTTGTACTCGCTCAGCCTCACACGTGTATTTAGTACTGCTCACTTATGAACGGATCACAACACAAGGTGTAAACGAAGTCACACATACACACAACACACACTGAGAGCAGACAGACGGACACACGTATATGAATCAGCTCAGTCTATCTGACAGCTTTACATTCCCTCCCCTTCTCATGGTCCTCGTGAGCAATTCTTGTGTAGAATAACAATGAGAACATTAGCCCTCATACGTTTTCGTTATGCTGTAACATAGCTTTGAGATTTGATCATGTTTGACCCAACAAGTCTCTTGTAGAGAAATGTGGAAGTGCTCACCAGCTGCATGAGACCCTTGCTGCTCTGAGAGGTGATGACTCGAAGGTCCGGTTTGCGACTGTTCCCCATCTGAGTGCTGGGTGGCGGGGGAGATTGCTGGGTGGACGGGGAGACTACTTTCCCCATGCTGTTGCCGTTGGAGACTGAGAGGAGTCCTGGGGAGGCCCTGGCACTGACGTAACCATTGGCTACAGAACAAGAAGGAAAATGAGGAAAAGACAGAGAAATGTCAATGGAGAGATCTACAAGACCTTGGTTGCTTTCTTTCTCATCGACCCTAAGAAACACAAAATGAACATACACGACTGTGGTCATATTTTCTGTAATTTGTATTGATGCGAAAAACACAATAATTACCCACCAGGGAAAAAAATAATCCTATTAGGGTCTCCCTCACCACGGCAGATGTGTTTTCCAACACTTTGTGCTGCAAACTAAATCCTCTGTTTTTTTTGGGATTACAACTCTATTATGTTGTAATTGGAGGATTAATAATGACTGTTTTTTAGGCTGGAGAACTGCATTCCTTTATGGGAGGAAACGCACGCACAAGCAGACGCACACAGGGAAGGGATCAGAGAGATCTAACTGACACTAGTTTATCCAGTTCCTCAACTTTCTTCTCAGCTTTGTTATTGAAATATTTTCGCTCTATTTTGTTTATGACGTTGTAGCACTTGTAATGCTTGATCTAATCTGACTCAAGGGCAAACAATGTGTGTGATTGTGTTTTAGAGCATGGCTGAGAAATTGAGAGAGAGAGAGAGAGACTGGGGATTTTCCCAATGTTTTCCCACATTCTGGAACCAAATAACACTATTCTCCCAACACAACTTGAACGTCACTCACTAGTGCTATGGCAACCCACTGATGTCTCAGCTGCACTGAAATATCCCAAATATTTATACTACAAATATTTTTAGCAATGCTATTTTAACTTGCTGCTGTAGTGGAGACAGGATTGGTTGGCGACAAGATTTTTGATGGAAAGGGGTACATTTCTGGGTCATAATAGGGTGCTGTTACAATGTAACATGAATGTTGTACGTTAAGCAGTTATATTCTGTGATATAGAAGTCTGCGATAAATTATGATTTCTGTCAAACTTTATTTATGAAAAGAGTGTAATCTGGTTTATAAAAATACCAACAATGATTATATCATGTATGTATATATATATATATATATATATATAAAGTTATATTTAAAGTTTAGATTAAAAAAAACTACATTAATACACTAAATTAAAATTAAGTCAATCAAAAGTAGATGTCCTCAGTTTCTGAATGATTTAAGAGTTTCAGACTAGAGAGACTTTTGAAGTTTGATATTTTATCCTATCTGAGCTCCGGTTACAGGGCAACAACAACTGCGTTTTGCTCTGCTAGACGTGTGTGTGTGTGTGTGAACAACAACCGCGTCAGCAGCTCTGAATGGAAAGAGATTGCAAAGGGAGCTGCAATTCCTTGGCAGCAGAGAAGAGACGTGCTCAGCTGTTCTCTGCCCTAGGAAACACAGCTTTAAGATCAGTCTGGTTTTTAGAGGCTGCTGGAACAGAAACGTGTATAAACACACTTGTTTATGCTCTATGAACTTGGGTCAGAGAGTATAATAGTAAATACATTAGATATGAGTGTGTATATGTGAGTGTGCTGTGTTAGTAAATAAGTGTGTTGCTTGTAAGCCCCGGCCTCTGTTAATCTCCACTTCAAAGGTCTGACTGCCTTTTTCTTTTCGCCTCTGTCTCTGTCCATGTCTCTCTCGCTCTCTGTCCCTCTCTCTCTCTCATGGGAATGGTAGGAATGCTACATGACGTCAATGCTGACATTCCCAGAGCAACAGCTGAGAATGGAGGGAAGGGAGGGGAAATGGACAGAGAGAGAGTGAGAATGAGAGATGAGGAAAAGCAGTATGGTAAGAGCTGAGAAAGTTTCTTAAAAAAAAAAGAAGATTATGTCAATAATTGTTTTTGTTTCATTTTTAACAGGCTTGGTCAAATTTAGGTTTAAGTTTAAAAGTTGGCCTAACGCTTAAAAAAAAAAAGCCAAGTCTAAAAAAAAAGAAGAAAAAAAAGGGCATGCAATACCAAATGTGCCATTTTGTGGAATGTGCCAAAGAATGCACACACAATCTCCAAGAAACCATGTAAGTTATTCTGTTTAATTGACTCCACAAAGGCCTTCAGACTCTTTACTGATTAAATGTTCACATTTTAAATGCCCACTTAAAATGTCCATGAGACTTCATGTGCTCTTTGAAGATCAGAGGCAGGAGAACCAACAGCTGTCAGGGACTGTCAAGATTGGCTGGGAAGAGAGAAGGGAGCGTGACAGAGGGGGAGGGGAAGGGACGGAGCGTGCTGGTTTAAGCTGGGTATTCAGACTGTCATATGTGAGATATGAAGAACAGCTGAGCGGGAAAGAGGATGGGAAGACAAGTATTCAGGAGCACAGAAGCAGAAAAGAGACTAAAGCAAACGATAACAAAGGGAAATGAAAAGACGGAGTAGGAAAATTGACATGCATGGTGTTGACCCATAACACTGATGTCACTCCTGCCCCATGGTCCCATGAGGGTGTTTACAGGCATGCTTTGAGAGCAGAGTGTGAGCTTTAGCTGTCACGCGCGAACAGGTGTGTGAGCGTATGGCGGATGTCCGATAGTCTCTCTGATAACTCACTTTTAGATATGTGTCCAGACAATGTTCATGGAGCTGCTGTCATTCTCATAATCACAGTCAGATCAGATTATATCTTATCGGATGAGACTGAAAACCCTCGCTCCACTCTGCAGATCTTAAACGTGCCCTTCAATTTGAAGCAGTTTGACTCAGACTGATGTATTATTCAGGTGAAAATAAAGAGGTTTTATTAGGGCCGTCTGGTTGGTAGGAGGGAAGACTTACCCACAGGGCTTGGGCATGCTCCGTTTGAATGGTTGAGGTCACCTCCCAGAAGGGCACCTGGAAAAAAGACAGAATAGCTTACAGGAAGGCTTAAATCTACAGACTTCAGACTCTCTATGTACTTTGAACCAAATGCAAGGATATACATTTGACCCCAAACTTTTGAATGATATAGTGTATATATTGTACATGCTAGGGGTGTAACGATACACATATTCGTAGTGAACCGCTGCGAGGTGCGAGGGTATCGGTTCGGTTTTCGGTACACATTTTTAAACCAAACCAATTGTCCTGCCAGCCAAAATTTCGTTATTTGAAATGTAGGCGCCTACACTCATAATGTAAGAGCCGCTGACACGACCACAACATTACCCATCAAATGGCAAATGTAGCGCGAGCCAATCTTAATCCAGTAAAGAAAAAATTTGAATTCGCCATTGAAGAAATAACATCGCTGGGAAATCAAGTGAGAAACATTCACATTTCTATGTTATTAACGGACCAATCAGCGCTGATGTGGACACCGGGAAGAAACATTGTGCCATGAATGAACTATCCAGTGTCCACAGATTCGATATGCGTCCACGACACCCTCTAAAGGTGGTTTGAGTGATCAGATCAAAATGAGATGCATTGAACCTTGTTAACAACTGTATGTTGATACCAGGTTTAAAACGACTTTTATCTGATGCTACAACAAGCTGATAACTGAAATACTGAACAGAAAACTTGAAGTGGGATTGCATGCCGTAGGGATCCATAAATATTAAAAGTCTGGCCAAAAATAAAGGTGATAATTAATTTTATGTTAGGGCTGATAACCGATAAATGGCTGGTGTTACATTTACAGTTAGTTACAAAATACAAAAAAAAAACACTAAAATAAGGTTTTATTTATTAATGCTGGTTGGTGCATTGAAGCAATACACACAACAGGTCCATTAAAGGGGTCATGAATTGAGAAATCCAATTTTGACATATAAGACATATAAAAATATCCTGTAAATATCAGAACTTTCTTGTTAGTTCAAAAGGAAGCTGCCAAAACGACTCATTTTGAATTATGATGTCGATCGCTACTTTCTGACATAGACCATGCATATCAAACTGTCCTCATTGGCGGTGGAAACGCAAGCCAGATCAGGGTTTACTGTCCCGAATCGTACCGAACTGTCTGAAATGAGGCATTAATGTACCTAAATGAAAGTGAAAGTGACATATGGAGGCCAAATATGGTCTCATACCAATATATTGCGCAAGCATTAATAAAAAGTGATTTGTACACTATGTAATCAGTCCAGAGCAGAGCAGATGATGGTTTTGACAGACTTTTAAGCATAAATCAGTGGTGTGTCTGAGTAACAGCTGCTCCGGGTAATCCGACACCCACAGGCAAACATTATAAGCGCTTGTACACAACATGAGTTACTATTTCCTCCTTCCTGCTTTGCTTACGGGTACTCGGCGCCATTGATCTTTTACCTGCGCTGGCAGGTCTCTGTGGAAGGCCTGGAGACACCGTGTTCCTCTGGAGCTGCGGTTGCTGTGGCGACAGCAGGCGCGGGTCTGTGAGAGTGGAGGTGACGAAGGAAGTGGTGACGAGGCTGCTGGGATTGCTGAATGGCAGAGGGCTCTGATTGGACACCGGTACTGTGACTGGCATGGAGAAAGTGGGTGGTGGCACTGTGGACTGAGAAAGCACAGATAGAGAGGGAAACGGTTAGTGGCTTTACTACCCAAACCTGCATGTACATCAAGGCGACAAACGAACGGACACACACCGGCTTTAATAGCATGCAGTGACTTGTGCAAAACATCTCCAAAGCAGAGCATGTGAAGCTACGAGGTGCAGAGTTAATTTTGTAAGACTTAAAAACTGCACGAATGGTCCAGACTGGAAACGAAAGGAACAGGAAAATTCTGAGAAGCTTCGCTCCACTTCCGTCCAGATTTCTCTGAAGCATCCAGCATTTATAGTTAGTGTATATTTTAACACTATTCGCTTATTACGTCGTATTGTCCAAGCCTCATTTAAGTTGAGAATACAATTTCAACAGCATTCAAGCTAAACTCACGGTGTACACACTACAGTCTCCAGTCATCCCGGACACTAGTATTATAATGATCCATAAAAAAAATGAACAGTCTGGCCAACTGAGATTTCAGTATGGAGATATTAGCACCATTTCTTGTTTGCTTTTGGCATCTGATTTTGTTTTGTTTTTGTACCCCAGCATTATACTCAATTTTATTCTGCAACAGTTGTCCTTAAACAGATAAAATGGCTCTGGGGAATATCCCAGCGCTCAGGGTAGGCTCAGGTGTTTCAAACAAGGTGCATGTGGCCGTGACAACTCCTGAGTCAGCCGATCTTCGTTCTCGTGCTTTCTGAAGCGCAATTAGCCAGCTTCGGCATTCAGCATGGACTCAAACTGTCCAGATGCTTAGATGGAGACCCATTTTCCCATGATCCTCAGCAAAACCAGGGCCTCTAAAATTAGAATGTGGGCCACACTAGGCCTCCTGTGTTCTGAGTAGGACCCAGTTTGATAGTCTGGCTGTTTCTCTGTCCTTCTCCCTTTCTTCTATAGCCTCTCTGTCTGAGCGTAGGCAGAAAAATGTAGTTTGAAGTACGATGATTAAGAGAACGTGTTTTTGACCTCCGTATATGGCTGTTAAGAATACATGGCCGGTATTACAATTCTGTGGTAACACAATAAGGTTCCATTAGTTAACATTGGTTAATGCATAAACTAACATTGAGCAGTGTACCGGTACTGTAACACGTATTGCTCATTATTTAATGCATGTTACAGTATTGATACATTGTTCAATGGCAAACAATGGATCTGAGCTTACATTAACTAACAAGAAAATGTAAGCTCAGAACCATTAAATAATCTTAACAGATGCACCTTTTAATTTTAATAATGTATTAGTAAATGTTCAAATGAATCAGGATTAATAAATGCATTAGAGGTATTTTTCAATGTTAGTTCATGTTGACTAATGTTAACAAATTAAACTTAATTGTAAAGTGCTACCAATTCTATACTATTTTGCCTAAAAAACATTTTTAAACATTGGGCAGCACAAATATATAATATACAGTATGATAATATAATATATAGGTGTGTATTTTATATTTGCTAAATATTACATTTAAGTGTAATTCAATTACTAGTATTTTTTAAGATTAACTTTAAGTGAGTGTTAGAAGATAGCAAAGGTAATTTAAATGAAAAAAAAAAAAAAAAAAAAAAAAAAAAAACAGGAAATGTCAAGCACTATTTAATATCCAAAATCAACCAATACGGAATAAATTAAAATATCTGTAAATTTTACAATCCAGTAAAATAAAAACTGTTTTCGAAGAAATGACTCCCAATGAGAATCTAGTGATGCCAAAGCTATTTTAAAGGAATATTCCCAGGTAAATACATATGAGCTACAGTTCTAGAGGGAGTAACCCATGTAGCATAGCATGTTACTCACTAAGCCTGTGGACGAAACAGCAACTAAGTTCCAGCACTGCACGCAGGCCAGGCAAGGTGAAGGGAGGGCAGGGCAGAGTCGAGGCAGTGTGAGGCGAGCAGGTGGTTTTAAAATATGGAGCATTAAACACACCTCATCTGAATATATACACCCAAATCTAGTGTGCTAGTCTCCAATTTCTCAGCCAGAAAGTGCAATCTTACACATCTGAAATAGCCTTCAACAACTGAAGATAAAAACAACAGACTGGAGATAATATCCGTCTAGACACACAGACAAGCGATAGACAACTGTGACAGGAATGACACTTGGTACTGAAAAACAGTCTGTGTGACTTTGAGAAAGAGCGTGACCAGTGAAGTGAGAAAGACTGACTGGTTTGGAAAACAAGTTGACAAGTCCTATTGGATTAGAGCTTACTGCAGATCACAGTGCACATGAGGAATGATCTTTCAGGGGCACTTTACTCAGTAGATTTAAATGGGGTCTTATAATACAACCAAATCCGATCAAAAAATTTAGGCTGCATTTACACTGGGACAAAAAAATCTGATGTTCTGACATCTGACATCTGACACAGAACGAAATTTGCTGCACACGTGTAAACACAAAAACCGGCACAAGATCCGACTTTTTCGCATTCCGTTCTGAGCCACTTCCAAGTGTTGTTTAAAGCTTGTAGTCTAAAGCTTCACTATTACATACAGACGCAGGTAATTCACACTCACAATCTCTCTCGTTAATTTATTCAAATTAATTTAAATGAATGTAATCTTATCACGCTACTTTACTTCACTTCAGAATTCTAGATGTAACATCGAAATATCCAAAATCAACTGATATATACTACCATTCAAAAGTTTGGAGTCGGAAAGAATTTTTCAAGTTTGTAAAAGAATTCTCTTATGCTTACCAAGGCTGCATTTATTGATCAAAAATAAAGAAAAAACTATTTACATAAAATATTATTAAAAATTTTATTTTAATTATTCCAGCACTATTTCATTACTCCACTCTTCAGTGTCACATGATTCATCAGATATCATTCTAACACGCTGATTTGGTGCTCTAGAAACATTTATTATTTCTATCAATGTTGAATATTTCAGTAGAACCATGATGCATTTTTCAGGATTCTTCGATGAATAAATTCAAAAGAAAAGCATTTAGTTGAAACAGAATCCTTTTGGTCAATAGAATGCATCCTTGTACAGTAAATTAAATTATGAATTTATTTAAAAAAATATCCTGCTGACCCCAAACTTTTGAATGGTAGTGTATCCAGTATAAACCAATTCATAATGAATAATCAAAATCACTGATTATAGCACTGATATTACTCCAAGTTGATATTAAAAACATCACCAGAAATGTTTCTTCAAAAAACAAACAACAACAACCTAAAGTAACTTTTCTCCTCACAATCCAGCTCTTTCCACAGCAGGTTGCCAGACAGTTAGTGTCAGACTGTTAGTTGTGAATATCTAAAAACTCATTACAGACTGATCATTTTCCGGCCTGTTAAGTAGAGCTCGTAGTACACATGCGTCTGGGTGTCCCTAGCGAGAGGGATTAAGGTTTTAGCTTTGCTTCCTCGGGCGCTCATGCTGGGATTATGTGGCAGAGAAAGAGCGAGGTGCTGGATGACTCTCTTTGTGCTCCGGCTGGGGAATAGGCACTGGGCGGAGAGCGGGATGGGTGCAAGAGAGAGGAAAACTGCCCCTTTGTCAGGCGACGAAACTCTTTTCAAGTTATTTCTCATTTCCAGTCCCATTAGCATTAAAGAGGAAAGAGAATGCTAGTTACTACACTAATTCGTCTTTGCTGCCCACATCGTGTTGAATCACGTTCACCATGTATATGATATCAAACCCACGATATACTGAGATAGCGAACAAGCACGTTCTTGTTTCTGTACCTCCTGAGAAGAGATTCCTCATGCAGGGCTCATGCATAAAACATTTTTGACAGTGACTTAATGAAAATTATCTTCACTGACGCCTTAAACAGGACCTAGATGAGTCAGAAGTCTATTCCTGGCAAATGCGATACAAGCATCAGTCATCGCAGAAAACACGAAACAACAGCACACAAAATCAAGAGAGCTATAAATCACAAGCGCATTTGAAAAAGTGGATTGTGAGGATCAAAGGGATGCGGCCCACACTCGCCCTCTCGCCCCCGACTGCCCTCTCCTTGCCCAAGCACACACATTCAGAGGGGATTGAGGGGTGGTAGGAGGGGGGATGGGGTGAGAGATGGTTGCTAGGTGCTCTGTGAGTTGGTTGCCGGGCCGACAGCAGGCTGTGTGAGTTGGTTGCCGGGGCCTACAGCAGGCCTCTTCACACGGGTACTCACTGAAAGCCTATAGCTCTGCATCATTTTATCAAACTCCTCGTCTATCTTTTTGTACTTCTCCTCTGTGCGAGGCGTGAGGGAGAACGGCTCCTCGGGGTCTGGGCTCTCCGAATCCCGGTGCTCTTTCTTGTTCAGAGCCTTGGTTTATTCCCAACCGAGGACAGGAGAGAGACAGAGGGGAAGAAAGAGAAGGAGGGAGGTTAGAACGACAAGGTAAAGAGGAATACTCACTCCGTAGCGTTTGAAGAGGATGTCCAGCTCCTCGCTCTTGCGGAATTTGTCCTCCTGTAACGGACTTTGGTCGATCGAATCATCCCCGTCTGGCTCTGGACTGTTGCAACCGTTAAAGCCTTTCTTTCTCAACGTCTTAAAGGATTCGGAGAAGAAAGGGAGAGGAGGACATTTCACACTTAGAAACACAACTGAAAAACAGTGATTTATTAAACCAATAGAGTAACATGCGACATAAAAACCAAGAACACGGTATTTCGGGAAAATGTTTGAGTGTGATGAGGATAAATACAAATTTTACTCCAAGAATTGGAAAAAGATGAATATGTATAGCCCATTTGACAACTGTTTGCTGGAAATAAGCAAGACGAGGCTGAAAAATTGAGAAACTCAGTTAATCGGTTTCGGCCTGAAAACAGCCTCTCATTTTCTTTTAGAAGATTTTCCAAACAAGATTTTCTCTAAGTAGCTTTGATGTGGGTATCGAGGCTAAACAGAAAACAGTTTTCAGCACTGCCTTCTTCCTGCTCACAGAGGTCACAGTGACATAAAAGTTGTGCAAATGAAAATATAGCATAAAACAAACTGACCCAGTGTAATCCAGACCAACACTTTTAATTGGACAATTAACACTTACAATACATTTATGTATTATATAATGTGTATTTTATATATACTGTTCTAAGTTTGAGGTCTGTGAGACTTTTTTGAATGAGTTGTGTCTGAGTTTGTGAAAGAAGTCTATTTTGCTAAAATACAATAAAAATATTAATATTGTTAAATATTATAAACATTATTCCTGTAATAACTATTATATAAAGTTATTCCTGTGTTGGCAAAGCTGAATTTTCAGCACAATTCCAGTGGTCTTCAGTGTCACATGATCCTCTCTCAATGGCTCTCAAGAACATTCATTATTATTATTATCAATGTTATAAACAGATGTGCTCCTCAATATTTTTTGTGGAAACCTTGATTTTTTGATGAATAGAAAGTTCAAAAGAACAACATTTATTTGTAATGTATCAAAGTACTAAATTCTACTCATTACTGACCTCAAACTTTTAATAGAGTATACATTTTATTATATATAATATACACAATTTATAATCATATTATACATTAAATTAATCAGAATTAACTAAAATGCCAGTGGTGAAGCCCAGGCTTTTGCTATGCAGTTGCTAAGGTGTTCTGAGTTGATTTTAGTAGGTTTGTTTCGGAATAGGGGCTGATTGAAATCCCTATAAGTATCAGGAATAGCGATTAGCCTTAGCAAGTGCCGCTAAAAATATATCGACTTCGGTGAAGATTTGATGAAAGATAAGAGTGGAAAAAAATTAAATCCCAAGCCTCTAGCTTTATCGTTCATAGCATAACACTCTCTCTCACACATACACACATACACAGTGAGGGGTGGGTCAGCTGATCAGCTTGTCTCTGAGTCGGCTCCATCTGTTCACCTGTCCCTGTATTTCTCTGCCTGCTGTCTCTCCTTTATGGGGCGGGTGCTTGTTTGTGTTGCCAAGGGAAGATTCCCCCGCAGAGCTCCGCTGCCTCTGACTGGCTAACCTCGTTCAGTCGTGCTCCTCCCCCTGAAACGCCTTCCTTCCCTCCCCCCGTACGGTCCCTCTCTCGAGCTTACCCTTCCTGTCTTTACATTATTTAATCTATGTTACCCCTCGACCTTCACTTTCTCTCTTCTTTCATCTCATTTCCACTGGTTCTCGATGGTTTTTCACACTACATCTTTGTGTCTCTTCTCTAATCCAATAATGCTCTCATTCTTCCACGACTTATCGAGCTGACTCATTCCTGTCCTCTATTCCCCTCCTCTCTCCATCCCATATTGTCTTTTCAAACTCCCACTTCCTATGTGGGCTGTTAGCAAACATTTGAGAGGGACCACAGTAAAAGTTTAAGAATCTTCGATTGAAAAATACATTTATCAGAAAATGTATGGCTTTACACTTTTAAAAACCTTTATCATCCATTGAACCTTTTCTTCACAAAAGGTCCTTTACAGTGAAAACCGGGTTCATAATTATTAAAATAATGAACCAAAAACGCTTCCCCTAAGACCCTGAAGCCGAAAAAACTTTATTTTTAAGAGTATACAATGTACATAACTCCCTCTCTCTCGAGTGTACGGAAGTGCACGCTGATGTCCAACATAGGCAAAATGTAATGTCACCTTCCATTTGCAGTGTGTAAAGCAGAGAAGGCTGCAACCCCCTCCCTCCCTTGAGAACGCTCTTAAAGCCTCGGCTTCGCCGCAGCCTGCCGGCTTACACACACGATAGCGTCCAGATACACCCATCTGACAGATTAGTGGCCCCTCTGAACCCTCCACTTCTCCTCCTCATCCCTTCATACCTATTCCTCCTTTAAAGGCAGCGTGTCTGCCATTATCAGGCGAGTCTGACTGTAACACATACATGAGGCTAATGGAATCATTTTAGCAGCTGATCTTGGCTGATAACCCATGGCTCATCCCACTGTGGAGGCGGATCTGAGAGAATAAGATGGAGTACATCATCTCAGTATCGAAGAGGGCTTAGCCGATGTCCAGCACACACAGATTTCTCATCTCTTACAGACAGAGGTTAAAAGTTCACAGTCATTTCATCTCGACCATTTAACGCCAATGGTCGCACTTAAAAGGAACTGCTGATGTCAGGGATGTCAAAAGGGCCGGTGCTTCAGTATCAAGTCGATACTTAAATTAAATTTCAGTTCTTTCTGTAGTATTGGTATCATAGCCTACTCAATTAAATTCTTAAAAGCTGTCTGGGTCATAGGTGATTACTTTTGAATGCTCATAAATGTGCCTTTCTTGGTCACAATGCCAGCTTGGCATGGCATCAATGTAAACACAGCAGATCTTTTACAGAAAATCTTTGTCGAGTAAATAAAACCTGCCATTGTCTATGACGTCATTTATAGTAATTAAACAGCAATGCTTATTATAAAAGCAGAATACCACTCATTGTGCTTTGTTTATTTGTTCTGTATTACTGTTTACTTGTGTAATTACTTAACTTTAAAACTCTAATTAATTCTAACTTTTAAATGCACTTAATTGATGAATGTTAAGGCTACATGTCATTGTTTTAATTTAATTTATTAATAATTATAACAATATTTAATTTTAATTGAAAATAAAGCAATGTTTAATAGCCTATTATCTTTTTGCTAGGTTCCCAAAACTATTGGTATTATGGTGACAAAACTAGCCAAAAGTATTACTTTTTACAGCTTTTTCATCAACACTCATCAGACATGATAGGCCTTCTGTAACACATATCAGGCCCTAAAAAACACAATATACTAGTTTGAATTTTCATTTGGAGCTTTTCTTAGGAAGATATATGCAAGTGGTTTATTTGATTAACTATATTGTATATAATGTAATTGTTTAATTTTTTTATGGATTGACAGCTCTGGCTTCTATATAAATGCTCAGCTGAACAGCAGTAGAAATCTAGGAAGTAATTGCTTAAACACAACATGAAACAAAATGTGCAAGGCACTAAAGGAAATTATTCACCAAAAGTTCATGGTACATAATACGATAAAAATTGAATACATACAGCTCTTTTTCATAAGTAAGTCTGGACCTTGCCTGTCAAGTTACAATAAGGAGAAATGAAAAATCCCAATGTGCATTGATGTGACACTGAAATGAATGATTTTTTCATTGAAAATCATTTCTGCATTTCGAATGTTTTCATAGGACTTATAGTCATATGGACTACTTTAATGTCACTTTATTTATATTTTTTAAAAGAGCTGCATGAAGATTCTACAAAAATTCCCTCAAAATATCATAGATTTAAAACAACATGGGAGAGTAAATGATTATTTTCATTTTTGAGTGAACTTTCTGTTTAAATGTCGACAATTTGATGTATTTCCATTTTCTCTGCAAGCATAACCATGGTTATGTCAGCAAAACCAGACATTGTTTAAGAAGCAAAGAAAGTTATTAGATTTTGATAAAAGCTATTATATTTATTTATTTTAACATAAATTTTAATAATTAATGATTACACCAATAATTCATTTAAAAGGCACATTTTTATTTCATGTTGTCTTTAAGTCCCCACAGCCTCTTCATCAGAGATGCTTATGAAAACGGGCAAAGCCTTGTATTTTCCATCTCACCAACTCCTTTCAATCTCAATTGATATCTACAGGATCTTCATCCTTAAACACCCACTCTTCATCTCTGTCTCTTTCATTCCCCACTCCCTCTCTCCATGTCTCTTTCTCCCTCTCTCTGTCTCTCTCCTGATTGGGATCTGCAGTCAAGCAGATTAACAAGCTCTGGCAGAAGAAGCAGGCAGCCCCCATACAATCACACACACACACACACACTAGGCACGTGCAACACGAGGCGACTGAAGAGATGAGAGCAAAAAGAGAGAGATACAGCAAGAGAAAAGAAGAGAGGCTGTATGCGTGCATATGCATTTGTTCAGTCATGCATCAGTGTGAAAGCATGCCAGCCTGAATGTGTGTGTGTGTGTGTGTCTGTGTGCATACAGTAAGCTGTAGGGTGAATAAGGGTTTTTTTTCCTCTGAGTGAATGTAAGCACTGCCATTTATCATCTACACACAGCGAATCTCCTTCAATCTGTTGATTTTACTCTTTTTGTGTGCTTGTGTCTCTCTTTTTGGTCTTTAATAGACAAATAAGCAAGTTGAGTGCAGAAGACATGTTTGACTTGGGCATGAGCCAACGGAAGGGCCTTACGAATGTTACTGCCAAATACATCTCTTATCAGACCAAATGCTGAGAACTCAGCACCAGGTCTGCCTCTACTGACACGCTGCCTTTCAATATTACATGAGACAGCCTTCAGCCTTTACACACACGCTCACACACAAAGCAGCCCAGTCAGGCTTGAGCTGATGTGGCCCACAGCGGCCCAACGCCCTCACCACAGAACATGCAAGTATATATACACAAACAACACACATACACACACACACACACACACACACACACACACACACACTATCTCTCTCTCTTAAGAGATTTCTGCAGCTGCACCCAACAGGAAACATGCGCCTGTACCACTGGGGGCTTCTGCAAAAGAGACACACATCAGTTTCTCACCATCACACACTCTAAATAAGTATTCACACTCTCAAAACTGCATTTTAAACTGCATGGAAACGACTACCTAATCTTTAAAAACAAAACAAATGTTTTGCTTTATTCTAAACACGTGCACATTTAACATTTTAAAGGAATAGTTCACCCAAAAATAACTCTCATCTTTTTATTTCAACCCTTATGCTGTTATTTTATTCGAGTATTTGATTATAGTGATGAGTCGACAATTCATAGCAACTACAAAGTAATTAGACAAAAAAGAAATTGGTTCATGAAACTTATGCACTATATCCTGTGTCTTCTGAAGTCATATGATAACCAAATTTAAGTCGTTATTCACTTAAAATCTTTCCCTCCTGTGAACTCGAGAACCAAAGCAACCAAATCATCCAGCGAGTTGAACTTGAGAACCGGATCACTGAGGTCATAATTTGTCTGCGAGTAAAAGACCAACATTTAAGTTCTTTTACAGTGAGCTGTTAACTGAAAAACCAAACCATTTCAATTTGCACACAAATCATTCTTTTGAGCCAGTTCTTTTCAATAAACCTTTTATGTGATTCAAAAATTGATCTTAAATAATTCATTATGGGAACTAGCAGCATGGAGATCCATGAAGATGGCAAAAAAAATAACAGAATACAGGTTCGAATCACCATTGGTTTGTTAGTTTTTTGGGCATACATTTATGGTAAAACTATATCAGAGTTATACTATTTATTTTTGCAAAAAACTTCTTCAAAAGAGTTAACTCAGAAAAAAAGGTTTCTCACAGGGTTAAAACCAGCCCAATCTAATAAAACACGCTTCATAGAGTTTTGACAGAAAGAACATGTTGGTGGAGGATAATCTCCTATGGTATCAAAAACGTGTGTGTCCTCCTGTAATGGCCTATTCTGCAACGGGTATAAACAGTTTGGTCCCATCGATTTGAGAATTGATAGAAACTTCTCACCATAAGGAGAGTAAATAAATTCCAGATTATTTTTAGTTTTGGGTGAACTCTCCTTTTAATTTAAGCAGTGTTCCAGCAATCCTTTATGAGACGTTCTTCCACTGCTGTTCTTTTCATGTTAACGTTGAGCAACGGCATCTTGCGTTGGATGGGATGGACACCGGATGGGCACCGTGTGTGTGTTTGTGTGTAAGCCACATTTTCCTCACTGGCCAAAGGCAGTAGGTGGTTGAGGGTGCAGCTGTCCCTGCCTCTCCTGTCCCACCATCGTCCAGGCAGTTAGCCAGTAGCTTATTGAGATCTGCAAGCCTCTGAACCTACCTTCAAGCTCTCTAGACATGCACATACACTCTTTCTCTCTCACACACATACACTCTGTCTTCATATGATGCGTATTAAGCCAAGCAAAAGCCTTGCCATCTCTTGAAGAACTTGTGGATTTACAGTCATCATGGTATTACCAAGGTATTCTGGAGATGGCAATACCATTATATTGTTAAGTAACTTGGAGTACCATTTAAATAACATGATATTTGAAAGATATTAATTTTAAGTCAAATTAGCATTGTATTAGCATAGTCTAAATCCATAATGAAGGAGCACTATGAAATGAAAAAAAAAAAAAAAAAACTAGACAACTAAACTAAACTAAAGGTCAAAATAAATGAGAAGAAGCGTCATGAAAAAAGTAATCGCAATTATAGACATTCCTATTTTGAAGGGATCTTTCTCAGAGGAGTTAGCTGGAAAACAGTAGGTAATTTATTCTGTGAATTTAACAAGGTTTCTATGAGGAAAAACACAAATTTACCTGCCCTCCTCAGGGAAAACTAGTCCTGACCAAATAGGGCTATTGACTGAACTACTGCAACCAAATTAACAAGGTTCACCGAAGACAGGAAGGAAGGAAAGAAGAGTAGGAGCAAACAAATAAAAGATGAACGAGACCAAAAAACAAACAAAACAATTTCCTGCCACCTAAAAGAGGGAGGATCGTTGGTGGGCTTGTATGTCTGTGTTACCTCGATGATGTCTGCATTGGTCCTGCTTTCGTGCGGCTCATTGTACTCGGTGTATTTGAGGAGCACTTTGTCCATGTCAGTGCTGGCATATTGGAAGAGCTTGTTTGAGTGATTGAAAATAATTAGGGCAATCTCGCAGTCACACAACACACTGAGCTCATAGGCTTTCTTCATCAGACCAAACTTCCGTTTGGTGAAGGTCACCTGTGGAGGGAGAGAGAGAGGTTAGACAAGGAGAAAACGATGATTGAGATGTAGGATGAGAACTGAAAACTTGTGCAATTTTGCTTCTCTTGTGTTTAGAAATTTTTATGGGAAAACAAAACAAAAGATACAATCAAAGATTAGAGGCATAGCCTACCCATACAAACCTACATGTCATTCCATCACCCAATTAGGATATAGAAATAATGACTTCAAATTTGGTCTGTTTCTCACACAATGTTATCATAAAACTTCAGACCACAGTTCAAAGTTGAAGTGACTACTTTTATGATAGGCCTATGGTGTTTTTGTGTCGAATCTTGAAAGCTCCAGTCCTTATTTATTGTGATAGCTGCTAGATGAATCAACTACATTCTTCAAAACATCTCCTTTTGTATTCCACAAAAGAAAGACAATCATACAGGTTTAAAACCACAAGAGAGGGAAGAAATAATGACTACTCCTATAGGAATTTTTGCAGTGCAGTGAGGCTGACTTGACATTAGCCAATTCTTCTCTCACCGAATCGACAGGGAAGCTTTCAACCATTTTTTGCTCCCTGCAACCAAAAGTTTTTCTGTTCAAATCCAAGACTCCTTAACCTTAAGAGCTTGATAGTGTTAGTAGACAGTGATTGCAACTCTGTAAATAAAAGCCCTTTTCCATTAGCTGAAAGAATCTCGTCCACCTCAACAGTCAGGGAGCTGATGTTCCCTCTCTCCACACCAGCACCAGGATAAACACCAGCGACATAATTGCCTTCAAAAATAGAATTCGCAGGTAACCAATGGCAACAGGAGAACACAACTTTATTATTGTGAAGAATGTTGAGACGCAGCGACCTGACTTCTTTCCGCTCCTCTCTCGATCCAATTAACCTCAGGGCCGAATGCTTACCTACTGACCTTTACCGCACACACAGACTCGATCTCGCTCTCTCTCACCTGCTGCCGTCTGTCAATTCTGGATACCCTCTGTTCTTCTACACCTCTCCTATACTTGCCTCTATCCAAGAGTTTGGTAATTAAAAGCCACAATTTATTGCAGCAAAAACTGTAGTTCACATTATCCTCTCGCACTCTTTAATTGCCCGAGATGTGCAAAGGACGAGCTTTGCAAGCCAGATCACTTTCTGAAAGAAATCTCAATTAAAAGTGATATTTAGAATAAAACGGGGCCTAATCTGGGTCAGACGAACTCCAAGACTTTTTTTTGTAACTTTGTTAAAAATATGATTAGTCAGGCACACCTGAGGGAGACAGAGAGCGCTGACACAGGGAAGCAGGGTAAGGTTGAGTATGCACACCTGGTCCGGTCAGAGTGACTACACCTATAAGCACAACTGTGACCAAAAACACATTCACAGCCATCTTTCTAATATCTAAAACATGGAGGGAAATACTACACACTGGTGAGTTTAAAAATCTACAATAAATGGCCTGAAAGCTTTCAAAATGATACTGTTGTGAAGTTTGTGATTTAACTGGTTTTATATGGCACATTTTTCTATTTTACCACAGGGACACATTACCAACACCACAACAAAAAAGCAAAAATGAACACTTATTCTTCTCATGTACTCATCTACAGATAGTTCACAGATAAGTGAATTTAGGAATTACATTATGTTTCATATGTTTAAGGGTTTTGAGTGTCCAGAAAAGCGCTATATAAATGTAACGAATTATTATTTTTTTATTATTATTATGTTCATGTGAAAAATAGATATTTGATTTGCTTAATATTAAGACAAAATCTCAAAGAAATTGAAAAACCGCAACAGTGTTTTAAAAAGCACCCTAAGGGAAATTAACTTGTACTTGTCTCTGCCCATAAAAAATTGTATAGGTGAAAAAAAATCCACCTCAATTACAAATCAATGACAATTACTTTTAAGCATTGGAGGGGCAAGATTTGATTTTGCCTTATGTTGATTACCTTGTACAAGATATCTAAACTACAGATTCAACTTAAGGCAACTCACAAGAGTCATAACCAATAAGAATTATTTCAGTTCAAATGCCAATAATGACTTCTTTGTTGGTGCATTTCCTGAAATGAATTCTTTTCACTTGTATAATCAAACCTGAGAGGAATTTTGCTATGTTGAACTAAAAACATTGTCATTGTAGACGCTCCGGGTTTCCACTCACCTGTCTGTTACGCTCGTCTGTAATTCGCTGAATCTGGATCTTTTTCCTCCCCATGGCTGCTGTGATTGGCCGAACAGGGGTGGGGGCAAGGTTGGGGGTGTGGTGAGGTCAGAGGTCAAAATTTCTTGAGGCAGTTACAGGAGCACAAATAGCGACTAGTCGCCTCTATGTATGAAGATGTGTGTGTGAGAGAGTCTCTCTCTCTCTGTCTCTCTCTCTCTCTCTCTGTATGCCACCTGTCTGAGGCAGCTGGGCTCACCCGTCTTCCTCCACTGATAAAAAAAGAGGAAGGAGGGAAGGAAGAAAGAAAGTGTGTGGCCTCCTGGTAGGGCCTTCAGATCATGGTCTGCTTAGGGTGCATGTCATCCGACAGGTGTCGTTCTGATATCCAAACCCCCTGGAAAAATCTGATGATGAAGATGATGATGGTCTTGTGATGAATTCTGTGAAAGAAAAGAGAAACAGAACTTAAAAATAAAACTGGTATGGGAGCAAAGTTTTAGGCTATGAAATTAAACTTTTTCATAAGATCAAAACATTTTAATACAAAAGAAAAAAAGATCTTTCAATTTGATATTTGATAGAATACACTACAGTTTGGAGATTTGGAGAAAGATTTTTAAATGTTTTTCAAAGAAGTCACTTATGCTCACCAAGGCTATATTTCTTTACAGTAACTTTTGCTCAATTTAATGTATTCTTGCTGAATAAAATGATGAATTTCAATTGCTTTTTAATGGTAATGTGTAACAATATTAGCAATATTTTATATAATTAATTGTAATTAACAGCCCAGTAAAGTGCAGTAGAATTTTATCTCACATTCTGCTACCTGCTTATATACTTTTATGATAAGAAGTCTTGATCAAAGATTATTATTCTTAATCAATTTAAAACACAAAACCTTTGAAAAACCGGTGAGTGTGTCAAACATTTATGTGGTCTGTGATTATTCTGTCACTCACCCCCATATTTTAGCAAAGGGTGAAATTCAAGCCTCCAAACTTAAGGATTCCCACACTGTCTAGTTAGTAAATTTCCATTATTTTTCTCGATTTTATAGAGATTGGACTCACAAAGAGTCAATTCTAACTGAACACTACTTCAGAACTAATTAAATACTATAAAAAGATATTAACTGGAGAAAACCTTTTCAGATTTTGTTAATTTCACATGGGAACCCTTATAAAGATTTGCCTGGACAGAACAGGCAAACCTCAACTCCACCATAGCTGGGTTTCCCCCAAAACACACATAGCATGACATCCACATATATGGCTGGGCAAAAACCCTTTCTGCAGCTTATCAGAGCCTGGTAATGTGTACTCGTTCACAAACCGCTTACAGATCTAAAGCATCTTCACCTGCAGAAAAACACCTGCTGAAGTGTCTCTGTGAGTCTGTGCTTGAGTGTGTTCTCTCGCAAATAAGTCACCCTTTTAGTCGTTTAGTCAACATGGGTATTTTAGCTGCATTTGAAGGTTAAGGTCTTTTTCACTTTACAAAAATAATAATTAAAAAAAAAAACATGTAGAAACAAACAGTGAGAGCAGATGCCTTGAAGCGTGACGGCACAAGTTTGTTTGTGTGCGTATGAATGAATGGCTGCATGAATAAATTCACTGCTGCCTAAGAATTGTCATATGGGGCAAGATAATTTTAAAACATGCTATTATTATCTCTGCCTTCGATTAAAAAACAACCCAGGGCTTAAAACAGAAGTCTATATATACATCGAGACTGTACACACTCACGCTCACACATCAACACATGACTGCTGACACAAGCAGGCTCCCTGATCAGGAAGGCCTGCAAACTTCCTCATTTCCCCTTCTCGGGTTCAGAGTGCACATGCTCAGAGACAATCTTAAGTGCAAAATTTGAGTTTGAACAACTTGAATTACAAGTTGTCATTTCCATGCCACCTCCCTTGCAATAAAGATCAGCACAAAGCCCAAATTGTCCCCTTCGGTCTAGACTTAATGTCAATTTTTTAGACCTCTCGAATAAATTTAGTCCAAAGTTACAGTCCAGAAGAATCAATTTAAAAACTGCAAAAAGAGCTGGAAAACCTCTTTCACCTTGTTCCTGCCAAACAAATTCCTTCTGGCAAAGTAAACACTTAAAGGTTAGCCGTTTGTTCGAGCCATTAAAATGACATCATAACAATTCTGATTGGCCGATGGCACCGTGAGAACGCAAAGTAGCAACTCTCCGGGGCTATTTATTCTGTGTGAGCAACAGACAGGAAACTAATAACCCCATTAAACGCAAGTAAACTGAATATAAAACAAAAATGATTGAAATGTTTTGCCCCATAATGGTGTAGTTATGGCATTTGAACAATGGCAAGGTGGACACAAGCACAAGAATGTTTGTTAAAAGGAAGATGTGTACAGGAATCAAACACTTCATTGTTAAAACCACCTTTTAACTGTGATGTTCATCTATATCTCCGATATTGATGCTTTTCGACGCCTAGTGGCAGTCACACTGATCTTTCAAAATGGTCGTAAGGCAGCCATTACCATCACAAAATCACGTTTAATCATGTTAAAATGAACGAATAAAGAATATATCCATATCCACACAAAATACATGACCGCGCCAATGGGTTGAATTGAAAGAAAAACATAAAATAGGTTTATTAAAGCAAATCAGCCTAAATGAAAATTTGCAATAATCTTAAAACTATTACCATAACATCCATCCATCCTGGGGGTCGCATTCAATCTAGTTACAAAAGTTCAAATTTCGATGCAACCGAAGCTCAACTCTGGCTTAAAAATTCCACATATAACGTAACTTCATGCAGCTCCCTTACTACGCTCCACTGGAAATGAATGACTTTTACTAAGTCGTTCATCAGAGATAATAAAAAGGATGCAAACTAAAGAAACAAAAGCTTTGAACTTCAGTGCTCTTATTTCATGACAAACAACTAAGACATCCAGGACTACATATTCAGAGTCATTTTTATTTGTTCCAACAGAAAAGGTCAGCACACTAGCTCATGTCTTCATCACTTCTTTCACAGTAAAACACTGTGTGTGTGTGCGCGTGTGCGCATGTGCATGTTTACGTGAGATATTTGCCTCCAAATGGAGAGGAAGTGTCGACAGGAAAGGTTTCCGCGGCAGGCCATCAGCAGTGCAGGCTTTAGTTCAAAGCAACTCAGAGTTTGTGTGTGTTTTGGTCTGCAGGGCCAACACATGAAAAGACTTCTTTATCTGCAATGAGAGTCAGAGTTTGACCTTTCACCCTGTGAGCGCTGAGAGGGGCTAATTCCCAGCTCTGATCTCAGTTGCTTCATGAGGGTCCTGGAAAGTGTCCTCATACTGCGGTTCCTCAGAGTCAGACTCTCTAACCGTAGAGGATCCATGAAGTACCGTTTGATAATGCTGTTAAATTGACCAATTTATTTTTTAAATCAAGGGGGTTTCAAACTGGGGCCCATGAGCCTACTAAAGGGTGAAAATGTATTGCTGATTCCATTAAATTAGATATTTAATTAATGTATTAGCACATATAAAATAAAACAAAGCAATTATTAAAATAAATAAAATACATGAATAATAAATTATTAGATTATTTTATTCGATGCACAGCATTAGTTTTTTTTTTATGGTAAAAATGAAAAATACAATCTGCAAAAACATCTTCTCAGGATAAATGAGTGGTGTTTGCTAGTGCAACACTTACTACCACAATGACAGAGTGTTAAGGAGACCTATGTGGTTTTTAGCACCTTGCAATGCGGTTTCTAGGATGTGCTACAAGTCAAGTCGGTCCAGATACTCCTTCAGAAAGTTCATCAACTTTTTTAATGCGGTTTACTGTATTAGCCGCCAGGTGAAAATTCAAAGTCTGCTTGCTGAGAAAAATTAAAGCACTACTCAAGCTGCACGATTTGAAGTACTGTATCATTGAAGTTTGTAGCACAAATGGTGTGGGATAGGTTACAGTTTAATAAGGATGTCAGGATTTCGATTTTAAATCGAAATCGATCTAAATCAATTCACAATCTCGAACTTCGAATTAAAAAATGGAATCGTCGATGCTGCCACGTCCCCAAGTCACATCCGTTCGCCTTGCCAAACGGTTGTTAAAGTGATGCGAGTCCATGGTCAACTTCCTCTAACTTAGCTACAGCCATTCAAAAGATAGCATGGCAACTGCAGATCCAGGAGACCCATCAACAGAACTTGAACCCCCTCCTCTTTCATTGAAGTCACAGGTGTGGAAGTTTTTTGGATTTCCAGTGAGTTATGTTGACAACATTCACGGCTTCGTGCTTCAAAAAAGCCACAGTCTGCAGCATCCCAAGTCTCGCGGAAGTTCCGGGAGTCCCCCGCATATAGCGGCTCCCTGATGCACGCAAATTAGTTAAAATCTCCCGGAATCTAGAGTGAGCGAGCAAGAGCGAGTGTGCACACCGAGACAGAACAAACCGTGCTCCAAACCGTATTGCGCGCACGGCAGAGAGGGAGAGAGCGAGAGACCTTCCGTGTGTGTGCCTCATGAAGTGCAAGTAAGACAGAGAGCATCCTGATTGGCCGATTGATAAAAATCGAGAATCGAATTGAACCGTGAATCGAAAATGTAATCGAATCGAGGATTTGGAGAATCGTGACACCCCTACAGTTAATACTTAGGGTTTGGGGGTTATTCAGATTTCTACCACTAATAAACAATAAAGAAAATCAAAGGTTAAAGATAAAACATCCGTTCCTTTCGGTTTTCAGTATCAGGGGAACCCCCTGCAACAGAGACAAAAACCTTTTTCATCTTGAAAATTAATCACGCTCATGAAAATGAACTGATGTACAATAAATATACACACAAACATGTATGATACACACACACACACATCAGCACAAGTAATTTCTCACTGCTTTCAGCGAACAAAGCTGCATCACACACACCTGTATATGTGTGTGTGATGCAGCTGTCACACACACATACAGGGGAAGGTGTTATAATTTTGAGTTGCGGCTTTGCTCATACCACTGAGGAAATCCTGCGGAACCAAGCTTCAGCGTACAACACAAGCAAAACAACATTTACACAGGCCTGCAAACAAGCGAAAAAAACACCTTGGTGTAAACACGTACAAAGACGCAAGCTGCTAGTGAAGAAGAACCCGAGAGAAAAAAAAAAAAGTCACGAGTTGGTGACCTTTCACTGTATAGATTAATCCTCCATCTTCCAGCAACTCAGACCCACACGTTTGGACAGCAGTGATTCTTGCAAGGACTCTGAAGTACCAGAGGTCCGCTGGGATAAGCGCACGCTGCCCTCGTCCATGTGTGGGCATATGGTATTCTGCGTGAGCGCGTATGCGTGTGTAAGCATATCTCCTCTACGGGGTGTGTGTGAGAGAGTCCAGTTTTGTTATCCCTGCCTGTAACTAGAGGCAGAGTGGCCTGGGGCTTGGAGATAA